TTCACCTCCAGGGACAGCCTAGATCGCCCATCTCTGCAGGATGGACTGCAAGAAACTCCTCTTTACACTAAGCCTCATCCTTACCTCCAGGAAGGGCCCCTGAGGACCAGTTGCTTAGGATCTCGCTTAAGCACCAGAAGCATAAGGCAGCCCTATTAGGAGGTAGTTTAGGGAGGGCCCAGATCTTGTAGAACCATCATGACACAAACTAAAATACAGAGCCTACAGTGTCAAGGATGGCACAGCCTCGACTGTTCCCTGCCCTGTACTTTATTCTTGGCTAGAATGGATGTTTTTTCAAATAAATTTACACTCAAGCTCTGATACAATCATCTGTTTGATCTCAAGTCAGTTACTCACACCCTCTGAGTCTTGCAATTTCCCACCTATAAAACGGCATCAATCAAAGCAATGGGGCAGATATGAGCAGTGAATGAGCTAATCACAGGGGTGTGCTTGGCACATTGCCTGAAACATAGTAAGTGCTCAATAAACAGCTGTCACTATCATCATCACCACCAAAGGTCGTTTTTTGTTTTTTTTTCCTTTGGTGTTTTGGAAGATCTTTGTATAAATCCAGTCACAATCAGTAAAAATGTCCTTTATCTGTCCACTGGTTCAAGAAACGTGGCCTTACACAGCTGAAGTTCTCTAGGTGTGCAAGGAAGCAAGCTTCAGGAAGTAGGAAAAACGCACTGGGTGGTTGGTTGCTCAGCAGATCTCAAATCTGGGGCCAGATGAAAAGGCCACTAAGGTCTTCCATGACTCCAGTCCTGGGAACAGGCGAGCACCCAATGGGGAAGGAGGCACCCTGTGGCCTGCAGGCCCCCTCAAAGCCCCAGAAGATAAAGCTACTAGGTCATACCAAGTGGGCTTGTCACATGGCTTTGGGAAGGTGCAAAGTTTTTCCCCTGCAAGTATCCCCAAATCCCCATATTCAGAAAGTCTTCCACACACCCAAGAAGATTTAAATTACAGAGTGAGTATCCTTAAACATTTTGTTTACTAACATAACCATTTCCACTTAATAAGAGTGAAGATTGTGCATCAAATGGACATAAATCGAAAGACCAGACCAAGTTCTACCTATTTTGAGCTCCTTAGGAGATAAAATTCGGGGAAACTCCTGGCAAAAGCCTGGGAGGAATAATCTAGATTTCTATGACCTGGGCTCAACCTGTAGTTCTTTCCCTAAGATCCTTACGCTGGACTTTGGTCCACACCAGTCAATCTGCTCTTGTACAGAATTCCACTTCTAAACCCTCCCCTTATCCCTCTCCTTCCCGCCCCACCCCACACACACACATTATCTGAGAGAAGGTGCAAGTCTGTAGGAAGCTGGGAGGCAGCCTCCACCTGGTCCTGCACCTGGCACCACAGCCAGCATTGTGGCTGTTCATAGGCTGCCCGGCCAGGCCAGGGGGCATCTTCTGGCATTCGCCAAAGACCCGACTAGGATGCCCAGGGAGCATCCTGCACATCCACTGGACATGCCCCAGGGGAGTCCATCTGAGCCTGGTCCTTCCCTTCTGTGCTCTCCCAACGGCTGTGCCAATAGCAGGTGAGGTGGTGGACACCACTCAGCCCCTTTCCACACCAGACACTGGTCCGGGAATGCTGAGATAGCGGACACACCTCATGCCTGCAAGGAGCTCAGTCGAGTGGGTAGGCCAAGTTACTATATAGGGTGACAAGGACCGTGACAGAAATAAGCATGAAGCTGGGGCCAGGACACGTGGTAGAGGGGAGAGAGGCTTTAAGTACAAAGAAGGTGGCCCTCAACCCATTGTTGGACTCAAGACCCTATTAATTTTAAACTTTGGTGGATGCATCCTTCTTCTCATCATTCCACACAGATCGGGGAGGTTCTGCTTTTAGGCACCAAGGCCCGGCACTGAACAAGACATGCACAGGCTTATTCTTGTGGGGCATATATTCTAATATGGAGGAAAAGATAATAAAAGGAAAGAATTCCCAACGCTAGTAAATGCTATAGCGAAAACAAGACAGGATGATCTGATAGACGGACACAGAAGAACAGTAACAGAAAAGTAGACACAAATACGTGGAACAGCCAGTGCAAAGGCCCTGAGACACACATGAGCTTGACTTATTCAAGGAAGAAAAAGGGGGTCAGTGTGGGAGGGGTTATGAGACAAGGCAGAAGAACAGGCCAGCTCGACTGTGTCAGGTATTACAAGTGGTGGTAAGGACTAGAATTTTATTCTAAGTGCGATGGGATGACACTGAAGGTATTTAAGCAAGGAAATGACACACGCTAAGTTCTGGCTATTGTGGAAGAATGGATGATGGAGGCCAGGTTTAAGGAGGTTTCGAGAGGTTAAATAAGCAGCTCAGGGTTTTACAGCCATTACTAGTTTGCATCCAATACCAAAGTTCATTTCCATGGTGCCCCATTTTACATACTGTAGTATAATGTTATACTGGAATGTCACATCTGACAAAGTGGGGTTCTCACTACCTCCATGACCCCAGCCTGGTATCTTGCATTATCAGGCAAGTAAGGATAACTGCTCATGGTTATATGACAATTCAACAGCAGATATTGGGTTGTCTGAAAAGTCATGACGTATTTTTTCTCTGTTTTTCGTTGCAAAAATGTGTCATGACCTTTCCGATAACCCAATATATAGTAACTTGCTTTGCATTCATCTGGCAACATTCAACAAATAGTGTCTACTGTGTGTCAGGCACTTGTAAAGTTGTTCTACAGTGTTAGAAATATATTATTAGAGTAGACGTTTCATAAAAAAAAAAAATTGCTCATCTGGGAAAAATAAAGTGCCAGCCCTCATTCCTAAAAAAGGTGAGAACATTGTGGATACTGGGTTCCCGCTAGTCTGCACTTTTCCCTGCAAACTCTCCAGTAAGTCAAATTTTCTCGAGAAGCATCTTCTTTGAACAGAGAGAAGAAACAAAGAAGAAAAATAGTTAATATACTGGGGAGGTGAGGCATTATAATGAAAGGAACCTGGGATTTACCCTATAAGACCAGCTTCAAGTCACAGGTAACCCGAAGCATCCACCCCTGAGTGAGTTTTCTACTTCTAACCTGTGCAACCTGGATAAACCCATTCTCCCTGAAGGTAGGCAGCCTCATAGTGAACTAACCTGGCACTATGGCATGGGTGAGGACAATTAATGGGTGAGGACCTGCATGCCCTGCTCCTCTGAGTGGCTAGAGATTAGAACACGCTCGCTTATTTATAAAAGATTGGGGATTCTCAGGTAACTGAGCTGGTTGAATTTCTACTGTTCTCAGAAATTCTTCCTGCTAGAAAGGGGTAAATAAGGTTAAAGTTATTCCTCCCAAGCTATGAACAGAACTGACAACCACTGGAGCCCATGATAAACAAGGAAGTCCAATTTCCATGGCCGCCCTCACTAATTCATTTAGCCACCACCTCCAGAAAAGGACCAAGGCCGAACTGCCTGGTCTACCGTCCCACTGCCCTGCCTTTTATCGAACACTAAGACATAGGTTTCTTCTCTAGATGCCCAGAATGTGCTGCACCTTGGCCATTCTGCTCCAGGGAGAAGACCAAGGGAAGCAAAGGAAAGTTACAGCCTGGACAAGCAACACAACACAGAGACGGACTAGCAGGTACAGGAAAAAAGAAAAAAAATACTTAACTGTGTCTGGAAGATAGCTACTCCCAAATGAGGAAAAAACCTGAATAGCTACTGACTTTTTAAGCAGAATTTCATAGATACTGGGTACAAATGCACTGGATGTGGGACCTATCTGTGTAGAGACCTAGGTACTCCACTAAAAAGACCTTTCCATGTACTGGGTTGAATAGTGTCCTCCCAAATTCATGTCTACCTGGAACCTTAGGAGGTGTCAAATGGACATCTTTGGAAATAGGGTCTTTTCAGATGTACAGTGATTAATTCAATTAAGACAAGGTCATATGCGATTAAAGTAGACCCTATTCCAATGACTGGTGTCCTTACAAGGAGAGAGAACAGATATACACAGACACACAGCTAGAATGCCATGTGACAACAGAGTTGGACATTGCAGTGATATGTCTACAAGCAACGGAACGCTGCAGGTCAGATTGGCCTGGCCAACACCTTGATTTCAGAGCTCTAGCCTCCAGACTGTGAGGACACATTTCTGTTGCTTTAAGCCCCTCCATTTGTGGTACTTCCTCAAGGCAGCCCTAGGAATCTAATACACTCTGTTTCACACCTGTTCCCCGAACCACCCGTCCCAGCCTCACCCCAGGGGCAGGACGCAAGACACACAGGCCATGCCTCCAGCCCACCTGGCCTTTTCCACCTTCTCAGTGCCCATGGGCAAGGCTCCCTTTGAGGGGAGGGGAGTGCAGGGATCACATTTCAGCTGCCCCCACCTTCTGCCACCGGAGGCAAACTGGCAGGGAGTGTTTGTTTTCTCCTAACATCCTCCTAGATTTATAGCCTCTCATTTAGGTTAGTGTTTCTAACATTTGATTCAGTCCCATCCTAGAGATATTGGGGGGACAAAGGGGGGGGGCATAACTATGTATACCTTATACTGTCATTTACCTAATATTTCCTTATATTGAGTCACTACTTTTACTTTATTTGAAAAGGAACTACTACATCGTTATAATAAATGGAAAATCAGCATCATTTATCCTATGGGGAGCTTGCTAGATGTTTTTAAATTGCACATTAAAATATTTTTAAGTCCATGCATACAAAATAATCTTGGGTGAGAACACTATGGGAAATACCGCCTTAAAGGGTACGGTGACTGTCTTGGTTCAGCTGGTCGGGAGCTCTGGGCTCCTAATCAGAAAAACCAACTTAAGCTCTACAATCTCGTTTCGCACCCGGACTCTCCGGAAGAAGGCTAAGGGCAGGACGAAAGAAAGGCACCGGGAGTTCCTAGTTCCCTCGCGGGGTGACCTGAGCAAACCGAGTCGAGAGCGAAAGGGACTTTAAATACCCAGTCCTGCGAGCGACAAGAGCGGGGAGGGACTGACCTTCTCGCGCAGGGTGCAGTGGACGTCCGAGGCGACGCGCCCTTCCCACCACGGCTCATCCATCGTCGCGTACGCAGCGCCGCGATCCGAGGCTACCGGGCTCTCAGGGCGCACCCTGCGTGGACATGGGCTACCTCAGCGGACGCGGCGCACCCCCGGGCTCCAACCTCCGGCATTCCTATCCTCATTCGCCCCCAGCCGGGAGCCCCCTCCTGACCACCTCAGCTGAGCTGGGGTCGCCGCCCATCCCGGGAAGGTTGCGGTGTCCCCTCCCCTCTGTTCGTGGGACCTGGGGCGACCTGGAGCTGTGCAACAACTGGCAGAATTGTCTTCCCTTTTGCAAAAGTTGCAGAGAAAGTTGCCGACTCCGCTAGCGCGCCCGAGGCTGGGGCTCCGGCAGCGGCCACCAGCTCGCAGTCCCCAACTCCTCCCCCGCCGCCTAGCCTTTGTCCTGCTCCCACATCCTGCCCTCGAGCCGGGGCGAGACTCACGCATCCCTCTCCGGGCGTGGGGGGCTGCGGGCGCCAGGCCCCTCCCAGGGCTGAGCCGGCGGGCCCGCGGGTGGCAGCACGCGACGGGGCCCTCACGCCCGGCGCTCCACGCTCTAGACGGCCGCCTCCGCAGCCCCGCTTGCCCCGGCGCCGCCGCGCCCCTGCGTGCGCTCGGGTCCCGCCGCTGCTCGCAGTCTCTGGGCCGCCGGGGGCCTCCCTCCCTCGCTAAGGGAATTGGGGGCCGGGCCTCGCGCATGCGCTGCCAGCCCCCGCACCCCGCGGGGCGGGGGGCTGGGAATTGGAGTCTTTCTTTCGCCTGCGCTGGCTCGGTTTCCTGCTCGCCCTCCTCCCCCGCCTTGGTGGGAAAGCGCCTCCTCACCTTGGCGGAGACTCGGGGTGGCCTCCAGGGCATCCCGCGGGCTTACTCGGGGAGCGCATGGACCGCGGCGCCACCTGCGCGCACCACGCGTGAAACGCGCGGGCAGGATGCCCCAGAAAGTTCTGTCTCCCGCGTGCGCTGCTCTTGTCAACGTTACGTAGGTTCCACCTGTTTTTTGTGTGTGTGGTTTTTTTTTCTTCTTTTTTTTCTTTTGAACGTGTTCTGCGACCGGGAGGCAGATACGGTCAATTCCCACGAAAGCTCCAGAAAAGCCACTCTAGATTATCCACGAATCCCTAATTCTCATGGAGGCTCAGTAAAGCAACTGGTATTTACTGTGCTACTGCAAAGTACAGATCTATGCCGTACATTGGAGGAAAACCAGTCTTTTTGGAGGTACTGGTGGGTGGAAAGCATTGTCTTTTTCAGTTGTTTTCGGAAAGGCTCTCCCTTGAATCAGCTCATCTGATGGCACAGCATTGGCTGATGGTTTTTTGTGATACTTTCGGAGATTCACAGACCTGTTTCAAACCCACTTACCAACTGGATGGTATTTGCCAAGTTCCTTAGGCTCTCTAAGCCTGGGAACCCTCATGTGTAAGATGGGAATAAAAATTGCACCAACCTGCTGCAGATACCCATCACTAAATAAGATAATTCGTATAAAGGGATAATCGCCATGCCAAGTATAAAAAGAACACTCAATAAATAGCTGCTACTAAAGAGCTTTTAGTTTCTGACTGGTTTCCTGCAAACAAATACCCACCTGGAGAAAATTTTAAAGTCAGCTTTGTTAAGCTTCAATTGGAGCTTAAAGAGCAGTTTAAATAATAATAATAATTATTATTATTATTATTATAATTACGAATTCTTGTAAAAGTGTAAAATACCTAGGAATAAACTTACTAAAAAGTGCATACTCTTAAGAAATTATAACAGTTAAAACAAGAAAGGCTTGAAGACATAGAAGGTGAAAATACCAACTTTACCCAAATTAACTCTTTTAATAAAAATCTAATGGTTGTAGGTAGGTGGTAGTGAGAAAGGAATGGCATAACTTTTTCTAATACTCAAATAGAGTATCTGAGAAAAGCGAAGATTTTTTTTTTAATGGAGGGATAGAACTATGTTACCAAATCTTAAAACATATTGCAAAGCTATCATTAAAACAGTGGTGTTGATGCACTAATGGATGACTACACATCAGTGGAATAGTTGAAAGCTTAGAATCACACACAACATGCTTATAAGTTAACTGTATGATAAAATGTGTAATTTCACTTTTGTGAGGAAAAGGATAAAGTTTTCATAAGGCTGGGGAAATTAGTTAATTTTGAGGGAACACATAAAAACAGAATCTATGTAAACCATCACCAAAATAAATATAACAAGCTGTCAAATGTCAACACTAAAACCATTTAGTAATGACTTTAATGTCTTTTATTCAGGGGAAATCAGCCCATGGATTCTGGGAGTACAGTGCCTCACAAGAAGTGGAGCACTCTCCCCAAGGGATTTTGGATAACAATGAGTTTTATGGAACGTTAAGAGGCAACACAGAAACGGCATGATTGCCTAGGAGTTTGGGATTTCCCTATAAGGCTAGCAGGTCCTATTTTCTAGGGTGAGGTGAGCTAGCTAAAGCTGAAGTGGAGGGCTGTGATTGGTGTATGTTAGGTGTCCTTGATAGATGTTTCTGTAAGTGCAGGCTGACTTAGGTTTAGATTTGTGATGGGGGGCGGGGGGCACTGGGACTGCCTCCATTTTGTGGATCCCAGTATAGTAGTTACCCCCTTATCCGCAGCGTTACTTTACATAGTTTCAGTTACCTGCGATCTGAAAATGTTAAATGGACATTCCAGAAAGAATTCGTAAGTTTTCATTGCACACCGTTCTGAGTAATGTGACGAAATCTTACGCTGGCCCACACCATCCTGCTCCATTCCTCCTGGGATAGGAAGCATCCCTTCACCCAGTATGGCCACCTTGTATGTACAGTATAATAAGCTATTATGAGAGAGACCACATTCACATAGCTTTTATTGCAGTATGTTATTATAATTATTCTATTTTATTAGTAGTTATTATTTTTAACCTCTTACTGTGCTTAATTTATAAGTTAAATATGTAGTATAGTCACGATTTCAAGCATCCACTGGGGGTTTTGGAACCCATCCCCTGTGGATAAGGGGGACTATTATACTCGTATGTGAATTAACTTTATCAAACCCAAAGAACTAAACAAACAAACAAAAATCAAAAGACAATTAAAAGAAACTATAGGTGAATTTTTTCAAAGGAGAAGGCCCAGATATTAAGACATAGGAAGAAACAAAAGGCAAGGATGAATACATATATTTGAATAAATATGCAAAACTTACACATATCAAATATCACCAAAAAGGCAAATAATAAATTGAAGAACAGGTTTTTGACAAATGTGACAAAGGTTGCTCTTACTATATACATGTCTTATAAATCAATACATTAAACACTAACACCCAAAATGCAGAAATGGATGAACAGGCACACCATGAAAGAAGAAATTCAAAGGGATAAATATTTTTTAAATGCTCATACTCACTAGCAAAGACATTAAATCTTTTTTAGAAAGAGTGGAGTACATATTTGTTAAGGATTTCTATAAACATCATATGCAGTGTTGACAAATACACAGTGTTGTTGGGAATATAAATACCATCTTTCTGAAAAGCAATAGGCAGAAAATTTTTAAATGTTTCATTTGCTCCAACTATTCCATTTGAAAATTTATTCTAAAAAAAATAAGCAGATGAGTACAAAGATTTATTTACAGGAGGTTTCGTCACACTGCTTTTTTATTATAGTGAACTGTTAGAATAGGGACTGGTTAAATAATAATTTGGCTCTTAGAAAACATTTTTTGAGAGAATGAATAATGACTTGGAAAAATGTTCGCAATATATTAAGTGAAAAAGGAGTTTAGAGTATGATTCCAATTATACTACACACACACACACACACACACACACACACACACACACACACACGAAACTGAAGGATACCCATAAAACTATAAACTGTGCAAGCAGAGTGGTAGGATTGAAAGAAATGTTATTTTACTTTATATTTTAGTATATCTGTATTTTCTAGTTTTTCTACAAGGAACGTGTATTACTTCCATAATCAGAAAAAAAACCAGTGAATGCTATTTTAAAATAATCACATGATATATTTACTAGAGTGGTCTTCCTTTGAATCACACAACTCGCAGTATTATTTTGTTTTTCCATTGCTAGATTATTTTTTTTCTCAGTAATCTTTCTATACAGGGTACAGTGAAAGAAGAAAGGGCTTTATTATCCACTGATTTGGAGTCCTTTTTCCCTAAACTTCAGCTTTCAGTTATCAGGGGTTCTGGTAGGTGAGAGAGGGAGGCAGAAACTTTGAGCTTTTTCCAGGGGCTCTTTTAAAAGGATTCTAAACATCTTTTGTACTCCGCAGTCCTTAGTGTATCATTCTCAGGAGTCTCTCCTTTTCCCAGTATCTTTGAAGAATAAAAATACATTGCGCTGATGTTTTTGGTGGTGAGTCACTGTCTACAGGTAGAAATGGTGGCCTTAGCAGGACAGGCTTCCTCTGGTGGGCGGCAGGGGAATGATGCAACTGAAGTTATAATAATTCTCCCTCTCCATCCCCAACCAAGCCAGAAAGTATTTGTTCATTCATTTGTTCACTCATTCAGTCAAAAATTAAATCTTTATCAAGTGCTTACTATGAGCCAATTACCACTTTTCCACCCCTAATCTCTGAAACTCACAGGATGGGAACCAAAAATTTAGAACAACCTACTTAAGCACAACTTTTTCAAGTATAAAATGAGAGGAAAACAAAAATTTTCTGACCTTTCCAAGCTTCCTCAGAAGACAAATCAATGTAATATTTTCAACTGCTTGCTTTAACTCTCCTTTCTCTCTTCTTTTTTTTTTTTCCATATGATACAAGCTCTCACATTACAAATCTATATGGTGAAATGTACACGTTCTCACCCTGGTCCCAGGCCTTGTTCTCCTCCCCAGGGATAACCAGCACTTTGTGTTTCCTTGCAGAAGTGACCTCTGCAGTTACCAATACAGATATTCATGCCTTTTTTCCCCCCTTTTACATGAATGGCTGTTTCATAGCAGTGCCCACCGAGCTGCATAGTTATCCCATAGACCTGTAATATGGATCTGTCATGATATGGGTAACCACTATTCTTTTCCTGGACATTTAGGCTGTCTCCAGCCTTTTTGCTGCCATAGCCGCACCGCAGTGAATATCCTGGCTGGCAGGAGAGATTAGCCACAGATTCTTCGAGCACTCAGTTTTTTGGGGGAAGTTGAGTCATGTGCTTTAAGTAGTGCTTCCTTAGGGTCTTAATAGTTTGCTTTGCTCCACTTAGGACCAAAAGCATGAAGGCTGGCTCTGTTTACAGGGACAGAAGGAAGACATCCGGGCCATAAACTTTGAGACATAAGCCTTGTTTACCATTCTGGTCTTTAACCCCAAACCAAGCCAACCCCTTTAAAGTATGTCTAGCTGCATGCTTGACACAGTCAAGAGAACACTGGCCCAATCCTTTATGACCCTGACCAGAAACTCTTGAGATACAACTCCGCAGATTAGGTCTGAGAACCAAGAAGGAAGAACGAAAAAAGCAGCACTTTACAAACAGAACTCAGAACCTAGGACACTTCTAAAGCTGACCCATATTGCCTTTTTTAATTAAAACCGAAAGGTGTAAGATCAAAAAGGTACAAAAAGAATAAGTGAAAAATATATTATCTCCCGCTACCGAGACCAGTGCATGGTGTGAGACCCATGCAGTTGTACAGGCCTGCACTTGGGAGGGCCTGCGCTTGATTTAATGCTGCGCATTAAATGTTTCTTAGGAT